GGCACCAATAAATACAGTATTAATTTAAACAGAAGTATCTAAAGTCAATATCATCTAATTGTAATCTGTTGGTAATGAGAATACTGTATAAGGGCACAACTTGTTGGTAACCCAATATTAATATAATGTAATATCCTGATACACAGTACCTATACGTTACAGGTAGGTGACCTATTATCCTATATCTGGAATGCTTGATTTGGAGCAACCCACTAAAAAAAAAAAAAGACTTTTTTCCTAAAGTGTTATGTTCATACCTATGGAATAACATTTTTCAAACATTATTTATCATTATTCCTGTTGGTGGCTATGATAACATTCTGAGGATGTGATGTACTTAAAGGCATAAGTACCTATCACAAGAACACGTTTCCCAATAGTTGAAAATAATTATTTATCAAAACTCAGTAAGAGGTAGTGGGATTCAGTAAAGGATCATTCCCAAGCTTGGAAAATACTAAGTGCCAACATGAAAAGCTATTGTTAATTACTGCCATAGACTTAAGTGGTCTTGTTATTGCTTAGTGTAACCGCTGAGTTGCAGTAGGTGCAAGCATTGGAGAAATCTACCTTGTACCTATATACTGGAATTGCAAAGTGCTAATGGTCTGTAAAGACCACTTTGACACCGTGTAATCATCTGATAAAAACCGCAGTTGTTACAAAACTTTTTTCTAGGTATAGGTTTCTAAAAAGTTTTTATATTAGTAAACATACAGATCTGTTGCACCTTACATTATATATGCAGAGGGGTAAGATGCAACTGTACATCAATATTCCCTGCAATTGATACAGATAAATAAGGAAACTTTTTAAGGTTATTGACTTTTTAATCTTAAAATTGGTCTCCTTTGCCGTTTGCACTGAGCTGTACTGTATTGTCCCATGGCCAGCATCTAGGTATAAATGGTGTATTTGAAGCACATCTGTGGTATTGTTGTAAGGCCTACAATAAAGTAATTTTTAGGTTACTCACTGAACTATGAGAAATACAAACACTGCCAGTGCTTACCACCTTTTAAGTATGCTAGTTGCCTAGCTGTTTTGCTGATCCAATGGCTTCACTTCCCTAATACAGATAACTCACGTTTTCATTAAGAGTAAGGCCTGGTTCACACCTTTGAATGTCTTGGAATGCACAGAAACATGTGTCAAATATATAGAATCCAATTAGGTTGTTCAAGACTGTGCGCTGTGTTGCGCTGCTTTGGTAAAAAATAAGGCATGTTTGATTTTCTGTTAATTTTCAGGTGCTGTTATTTCTAATAGAATAATGACAACAGGTGAAAAGACATGCCACAACAAAAAAATAGAAAAAAAAAAGAAAGTACAAATGTGGACATGCATAGATGTGAACCTGGCCTAAAAGTCATACTTTAGGCACCACAAAAATAATCTGCTATTACCAATTTGCGAGTAACCCCTCCTTTGTATGCCTCCAATAGTAACTTGACTTTATTACTGGGGCCTAAGCTCTATGACAGGCTAAACCCCACCAAATGCCAATCACCGGTCTCAGTGCCCAGTAAGAACCCTCTCAGGAGAAAGAATTTGTTGGGTTTTGCCCAGCCCTCAGTAACCGAGTCAAACTAGTTTCACAGAGGCACACATATGAAGGTTTTCTATATGATAAGAGCAGGCATCTTGACAGGGCATTTACTTAATAAGTTTAGCATGGTTGAAATTAATTTTTTCAACAAAATCAATTGAATTTTATAATGTAAATACTGAGTTTTGTACTTGGCACACAAAGTAAACTCCTGAATGTCTGTATCTGTGCTTTAAAAAAAAGGGGGAGAAAAAACCACTTTTCTTTGAAAATTTCTAATGTTTCCAGATGACAGACCCTACACCAATATTCTTATGTATACTAACAGTGCAGTGTACATACTGCAGAAGGCCCCTTAGCAGCAAGGTAGATTGGGCCCTCTTCAATTCTCATCACTGTAACTGTATAACAGGCCATTCTCTATGTAGTTCACTAAGTGTCCACATTGAGACTGCAAGTTTCTTATGATAATACAAATAGCAATGAGGACCGGTTCACTTAAATCACACAGGAATGTGGTCTGCAATCCTGTGCAACAGTGCAGTGCAATTTTCAGCCCATTCATTTGAATGGGCTGAAACTCACAGTTAATTGCACCAAGAGTAGTGCATGCACTACTTTTCTAAAAATGCACTACACTGGATCGCATGGTACTGCAGTACCATGTGATCCGATGCAAGGAAAATGCACAGTGTTTGTGATCTGCATTTGAAATTTGTTAGGATTATATCGACAGCAGATTGCACACCCAGTGTGTTTTGAATGTGGTGCAGGAAATGTGCATGGAACACGGGTTTCCCACACTGCATTCCAGTGTGAATGAGCCCTGACTGTGATGGAGGAGTTTTCCTGCTGTGGACGAGTTTAGGAATTTAAAATACATTGGGAGGCCAAGCACTGAATCCTGCTTCCACCATCAACTTGTCAAACTGCCTCCATGTACCTGTACTGTTGATCCAGAAACTTTTTTTTCTGCTGGGACTCCGTACACCAACTTGGGCTGTATAGGTAATAAATTATGTGAATTCAGTAAATGTTTTCTAGATGGCTTCCCTCATTATTTTACCACTACCTATTATTGTCAGCTAATCATATATTTTAAATGTTATAAACAAATGTTCATTATAACCATGGTATAAATGTCTGTTACAGTTTTTTCTTTTTAACCGTTATATGGATCAATAACTTTTCTGTGAGGGATTAATGCAGCATTAAACCCCAAAACAGAAACATAATATATTGCAGCTTACCAATCTTTAATAGCTCCGCTGAAGGGATTCTCCTATCCACCTTGAATGTGTGGATGGAGGAATCTATTACATTTTTTTTTGTATAACCCTCTGGTTGAACGAAAGCAAATTAATTATGTATGGCCAGCCTTACAGGCCAAATGAACAGGTGAAATAGAGGAGATAAGCCTAAACAAACAAAACCAATGCAGTCACCACCTTTAATAACTGGTAAGCTGCAATCTATAATACATTTTGATTTGGGGTTTAATATCGCCTAAACACGCAAATTAATTTAAGACAGGAATCATAAGTTATTTAATGACCGATTAGCTTTCAAAACACAAGGATTTTTTGGCCAAATTAATAGAATAGTGCTAATTGTTAACAGAAAGAATCAACCTTTAAATAAAGTAGCCTGCAAGAATACCCTTACTACACACACTGCCTTACACATGGTTGTCTGGAATGGGATGCTGGGTGGGAACATCGTTGACTGTACATAGGCAGGAATTCCAAGAATTAATCCAATGGTTATTTAGGACATATGTTTTTCATGCCCCTGTTTTTTTGTTCACATGACAGAAGTTTTGTAACCAGGCGAAGCAAAAGTTATAAGTTACCAAGCTTAATCAACTGAGAGAGTGCTCCAAGACTGCAGTACAAAAGCATCAACGCGGGGCCTTCAAGTGTACTGCAGAAACAACAATATGTTAAAATATACGTTTGAGCTGCCTAGCACTGCATTTGCATAGCAACATTTTTCAAACAGTCAATTCTAACTTTTCCAAGTTTTCGTCTTTTTATCAAATAACAGCAATAGAGCATATGCTCCCATTTTCATATATATATGTTTTAGGACTACAGCAATCAGACAATTTTATTAAGAGAAAAACCCAGGAAAGACAGGGCAAGAAATTCTTCCGATGCAAGGAGTTACTTACTAAAACCTAACAAATCAATGGTTAAAAACATACGACGTGTTAAAAAATGAGTTCTAGACTTCCTGCACATTTTACATGAGGTAACTGATTTTCATTGGTTTTAATGGACTGCAGCATACTCCCTTTGTCAGCAATCATGCTCTTGTTTTCTACCACGGGCTTCTTCCTAGAACACACCGATGGTGATCAAGAGATGCCGTAAAGCACAGTTCATTTTAGAACAGTTATTAAGTAGCCAAAATTAGGGATAAATCAGGCTTCAATTTTACACTATACGGTAAATTCAGTATTTGGCAAGAAAACGTTCCTACATCCTAATATCCTGAGTAGTTCTTTCATTTTTTTGTTTTCTTTGTTATACAAACAAGTAATGCATATGTAGTCATGTTAAATTTACACACAACAGCAAAACTCAGTGCATGTGTCAAGAAGAACAGAGTCTCGATAAGAAAACAAATTGCCTAACTAAAAGAGACTGGCGCCGTGCTATGTTAAAGACATATGCAAATAAAAAAACTATAGAGAAATTTAGATACTTGCCATTAAATAGTCAGAAAATAGACAATAGTGTCAGAATAGGAAAAAAATAAAACAAAAAATAAGCAGTCTGTGGCATTGAGGACATAGAAAAGGAATGTGTACAATAGAGAGAAAAGATCATTTCCAGTTTTAGGGTGTGAAAATTGAGGGATGTGTGGACTTTTTGCATATGGATATAGAACCTATGTACAGTTTACCTATAAAACCTTGATTAGCAGTCTTCAATGAAAACAAATGAACATTCTGTGGAAATTCCTGAGATAGGTTTTTGTGACATGGGTCACTGAGAAGAAAAGCTGCTGTTGGGTCCTCACGGGTGTTTAGTCTATCCCTGTTAAGATCTGAAGTTAGAATACATTAACAAGTAAAGGAGAACACAAAGAGGACAGTGTTGCCACTGTAGATTTCCTTGCCTGAGCAAGGTATAGCACCATCGTGAAGGGATCTCCTGCTTTCAGAGAGGAGGGAAATACTTATAAAACAGTATTGCTGCTAAGACTGCTGTAGTGTGCACCAACAATGTTTTCTGGAGGCAGTGGCAGCCAATGGCTGACTGGTGACTTCTGCTTGGCCATAGAGCAATATCATGTATTACCACTAGGAGAAATCTTTTCTTGGCTGTTCATCTGTCGTACATTTCTCGGTCATTTCTTGACAGAAGTCCACTGTTACCGCTTGGCTGTTCTGTTCCAAACATGTCCCCCTCTCTGAGTAAGTACCATGGTCTGATCCCTCCAGCCCTCTTCTCGCTATACAATTTTCAGGTATACTGTTAGAAACTGAGTGGCTGCCAAGCTGTATTGGGCCTTGATTGTTGCAGCACTGCATGTTATCTCCTGCTTCCTGAGCGGTGACCAGGCTTGGCTCTCCTCTTGCTGGTAAAGGGTTGAATGCAGCAGCTGTGGGTAAATCCAAAGGTCGCAAGACAGGACAGTACCTGTGGAGAGCTTGGATCTCCTCAGGACTCTGGATATCTCTACATACTTCCTGGGAAAGGCAAGAGAAGTTGTCCAGTAACTCTCCCATGCAAGCCTTCAGCTGGTTCCTTTCTGTTAAAAGCTTTTCCTTTTCACATACCTAAAAAGAAAAGATGTGATATCATCAGACGGAAGACAGCCATACAAATCTTGAAAAGCTGTTTTCATATAACAATGTAAGTGGATGCAGTTCATGTGATACAATTCAATAATCGGGTAATAGTTTTTAGATATAGGCTATAATGGTTCTTGGGTTCATCTTAAAGTCCCACTATAGTGAAACTTATTGTACTCTGGTAACTGTGGTTAATACAGTACTTGCAATAATAGTATATTAGTAATGCTCACATTGACTAGCTTTTATTCATATGGCTTAAATCTTTTTTTCTCTAAAAGAAAACTAAATGCTGATGTAAATCCATCCAAACCACTATATATCGAAGACAAACCAAAAAGATCTGAGATTCTCAGAAGGTGATTTCTGCAATATATTTTGCCATTTGGTAAAATACAAACCAAATGGACCGAAGTGACAGCCTGCATTATTGATACCACCCTTTTTACCTTTGATGTATGCCCCATGATGTGTCTACTGGGCTTTGTTGATACTGGACAAAAAAAAAATCTCTGGAGGGACTTTTACTACACTATACAATATAAAAGCCAATATAAAACTGAACCCCCCTACCCACCTTGCAATTATGGAAAAAATAGTCAAAATCTAACCTTGCTCCCTATTAGAAAGCTACAGGATGTCTAACCAATTTCCTAAAAATTTGCACACCTTTGTTGAACATTGCATTCACTGCAACAACTCCTTACTTGGACCTTTACTTCTATTACCAAAACTTTGACTGAAGCCCTAGCTTCATGCTCCCCCCATCCCCACATACTGTTAAAAAGGCTATAAAAATACAACAAATGAAAATAATAAATAAATACATATATTATATACACACACATTATATATATATATATATATATATATATATATATAAATATATACACACACACACTTTTGTTATATATACACATATAAACAACATATAAAAGATAAAAAGATTTAGTATAAAGAAAAATCACCACTATCAGCCAGAAAACACGATACAAAGAGTAAAAGGGATGATTCTAACAAACAAACAAAAAGAAAAACTACAGGAACTGTGATCTGTATTTGTGATATCAGTTGGGTATACTTTGTGTTCCTAATAGTAATGTAAGCAGAAATATTGTTCTACATTACCAACAGAAGTCAAATGAACTTTAAATTGTAGTATAATCGCAATTAGTTGTAAAAACAATTAACTTTACTGTGAATGATAACAAAAGCAAAGTCAAAATTATGTTTTAGCATAATTTAAATTCCATTGTTTTTAGTACTATTCGAATTAATGCATTACCCGAATTGCACTGCAAAGAATCGCATAGGATTTGAACAGGAATGCAGCGTGATTTGTACAAATCACATGTGGCTTCCTGCACCGCTCCTATGTGAATCCAGGCTGAAGTCACTATGACAAGCCTGGTTTCCTTTTTGTATGGGCTCCATGACACCATGACTAGAAAAACAGAAATACTTATCCTTCTAATAATGGATAAAAAAAAGACAATTTCTAATTCACTTTGCTGAATTCGGGCCAAAACAAGATGAATTCTGATATGTTGCTATGGGTTATTGCACTTATGTAATAAGAACTCTTTTTGAGTAAGTTTTGCCACCAGGCCCAGACTGACCATAGGGCACATCGAGCATTTGCCTGGTGGGCTGGGGCCGTCTGGATAGGAGAGGCGGTGGGCAGCACATAGAGGACCGTGCATTTCTCGGTTCCTCTATGTGCTGTCCAACTGCCTTTCCTATCAATCTCCTGCATGTGGTCGGCTCCTGTATGATCCCCTCATGGCCGCCCTTCCCCGCTCATCTCCTCCAGCGGCCCCCCCCCATCATCCTCTTCAGCGGTCCCCTTCTTCATCTCCTCCAGCGGCCCCCTCCCTCATCTCCTCTAGCGGCTCCCTGCCTCATCTCCTCCAGCACCCCCCCCATATCTCCTCCAGCGACCCCCTCCCTCATCTCCACTAGCAAACCCCTCCCTCATCTCCTCCAGCGGCCCGCTCCCTCATCTCCTGCAGTGGCCCCCTTCCTCATCTCCTCCAGAGGCCCCCTCCCTCATCTCCTCCAGAGGCCCCCTCTCTCATCTCCTCCAGCGGCCCCTCCTCATCTCCTTCAGTGGCCCCCACCTCATCTCTTCCAGCGACCCCCCACCTCATCTCTTCCAGCGACCCCCCCCCCCCATCTCCTCCAGTGCTGAGGGGGATCTGTTAGTGCTGACAGTCCCCCCCCACACACACAGATGGGAGAGGAGAGAGAAAGCTGTCCCTCCTCCTCCCTCCCTCTCCTCCTGTGTTTGCCCCACCCACACTCCCTGCTAGCCTAGTGTCTTCTCTCCGCCTTCTCTCGCTCTCTGTTTCCTGTTTCTTTTCTTTCTTTATTTTTTTATAGTTCTCTCTTTCTTTCTCTCTCTGTCTCTTGTTTCTCTCCTTTCTTTCTCTCTCCTTTTATTCTTTAGGTCTCCCATTTCTCTCATATTTTTCTTTCTCTCTTTTTTCTAGTTCTCTCTTTCTTTCTCTATTGCTGTCACCTGTTTCTCTCCTTTCTTTTTTTTGCTCGCTCGCTGTCTCCTGTTTCTCTCCTTTCTTTCTCTCTCTCACTGTGAGGGACCGCCGAGCGGCACCACTAGCACTCCACTGGTCAGGCGTGCCCAGAGCCCGGAGTCTAAGCCCCAGGGTACTTGTTCACCAGGGCCCCTGATGGTGGGGATGGACTTGTAGTACCCCGAGACCAGGTCGCCACTACTGAGCACACCTGTCAGTGGTAGGGGTGTTCGCCAGGGGCTCCAACCAGGGAGAGCCAGATGTGAGGAGGTCGGGTGACCCCGATGGGATGGATGGATGGCTGAGCAAGTGCGAAGTCAGACAGGCCGAGTTGGTAACGTAGAGGACGGTAAGGTACAAGGGAGCAGGCAGAGAATCGTCGGGTCACACGCCAGGTCAGCAACAGTAGGTCAGATCTAATGAGGGGCATCCAGGGAGAGAGGTCAGGCAAAGCAAGGGTCTGCGCAGGAGAAATCAGCAGGTCAAGAACAATCCGGGTCAATTAACTTACAAGGTACAGGTTCAGAATCACAGGAAGCAGGTAACTCGAACGCCGCTCCGGCCCGGACCTGCGCTAGTGCCCGTGTCCCTGCACAAGGCGGAGCTGCGCCAGCCCGCGCTTGCGCCCGTGTCCCTGGGACCGGATCGCTTGGGGACATCGCGGCAGGGATCGAGGGGATCCCTGACACACTGTCTCCTTTTTCTCTCCTTTCTTTCTTTTTCTGTCTCCCGTTTCTCTCACTTTTTTTTTCTCTTTCTTTTTTATAGTTCTCTATTTCTCTCTCTCACTGTCTCCTGTTTCTTGCCTTTCTTTCTCTCTCCTTTCTCTCCCGTTTCTCTCATTTTATTCTTTCTCTCTCTCTTGTCTCCTGTTTCTCTCCTTTCTTTATTTTTCTCTCTCTCTCTTTCCTTTCTCTCTCTCTCTTTCTCTCTCTCTTTCTTTCTCTCTCTCTCTTTCTTTCTTTCTCTCTCTCTCTCTTTCTTTCTCTCTCTCCTTTCTTTCTTTCTCTCTCCTTTCTTTCTTTTTCTCTCTCTCTCTCCTTTCTTTCTCTCTCTTCCTTTCTTTTTTTATACATCTCTCTTTTTCTATCTCTCTCTGTCTCCTGTTTCTCTCCTTTCTTTCACTTGGTGTCTCCTGTTTCAATCCTTACTTTCTCTCTCTCGCTGTCTCCAGTTTCTCTCCCTTCTTTCTCTCTGCTTTCTTTTTTTTCTGTCTCTGTCTCCCGTTTCTCTCACTTTTTTCTCTTTCTTTTTTTCTTTCTTTATAGTTCTCTCTTTCTTTCTCTTGCTGTCTCCTGTTTCTTGCCTTTCTTTCGCTCTCCTTTCTCTTTTTTTTTTTAACTCTCTCTTTCTGTCTCCCATTTCTCTCATTTTTTTCTATCTCCTACTTTCTCTTTCTTTCTTTCCCTTTTCTCTCTTTCTTTCTTTCTTTCTTTTCTTTCCTTTTCTCACCTTTCTTTTTTTTCTCTCTTTCTCCTGTTTCTCTATTTTTTTTCTCATTTTTCTTTCTGTTTTATAGTTCTCTTTCACTCTCTCTCGCTGTCTCCTGTTTCTCTCCTTTCTTTCTCTCTCCTGCTTTCTTTCTTTTTTACTCTCTCTCTCTATTTCTCTCATTTTATTCTCTCTTCTTTCTCTCTCTCCATCTTCTGTTTCTCTCCTTTCTCTTTTCTTCCTTTCTTCCCTATCCCGTTTCTCTCCTTTCTTTATTTTTCTCTCTCTCTCCCCTTTCTTTCTCTCTCATTCTCTCTCTGTGTCTCCTGTTTCACTCCTTTCTTTCTCTTTTTTTTTTATACATCTCTTTTTTCTCTCTCTCCCATTTTCTCTCCTTTCTTTCTTTCACTCTGTCTCCCATTTCTTTCTCTTTCTCCCTCTGTCTCCTGTTTCTCTCCTTTTTTTTATTTCTCTTTCTTTCTATCGCTCTCTCCTTTCTTTCTTTCTCTCATTCTCTCGCTCCTGTTTCTCTTCTTTCCTTTCTTTTTTTTCTTTTTTTATACATCTCTCTTTTTCTCTCTCTGTCTCATGTTTCTCTCCTTTCTTTCTTTCTCTCATTCTCTCTCTCTCTGTCTCCTGTTTCTCTCCTTTCTTTCTCTTTCTCATTCGCTCTCTCTCTGTCTCCTGTTTCTCTCCTTTCTTTCTCTCATTCTCTCGCTCCTGTTTCTCTCCTTTCTTTCTCTCATTCTCTCGCTCCTGTTTCTCTCCTTTCTTTCTTTTTCTTTTTTTATACATCTCTCTTTTTCTCTCTCTCTCTGTCTCTTGTTTCTCTCCTTTCTTTCTTGCTCTCATTCTCTCTCTGTCTCCTGTTTCTCTCCTTTCTTTTCTTTTTTTTTTTAATACATCTCTCTTTTTCTCTCTCTGTCTCCTGTTTCTCTCCTCTCTTTCTTTTTCTTTCTTTTTCTCTATCTCCTGTTTCTCTCCTTTCTTTCCCTCCTTCCCTCTTTCCCTACATCTTTGTTTCTCTCTGTCTCCTGTTGCTCTCTTTCCTTTCTTTCTTACCCTCCTTCAATACATCTTTTTCTTTCTCTCTCTCTCTCCTTTTTCCCTCCTTCCTTCTTCTATACGTCTCTTTCTTTCTCTGTCTCCTGTTTCTCTCCTTTCTCTCCCTCCTTCTTTCCCTCTTTCTTTCTTTCCCTCCTTCTATATGTCTCTCTCTTTCTTTCTCTCTGTCTCCTGTTTCCCTTCTTCCTTCTTTCCCTCCTTCATTCTTTCTTTCTATACACCTCTCTTTCTTTCTTTATTTCTCACTCTCTGCCTCCTGTTTATCTCCTTTCTCTCTCTCTTTCCCTCTCTCTTTCTTTCCCTCCTTCCTTTCTTCTTTCTTTTTCGCCTACAAAAAAATGTAAAAAAATAATAAAATATAAAATTGTGTAAAATTAAATAAAAACCTACTGACACTAGTGGCGGAATTACCAGGGTTGCAAAGGTCGCTCTTGCGACTGGGCCCTGGCGTTCCGCCACTTGGGCTTTGAGCTGCTCAGTCCAAAGTGCCCAGGCCTGTTTTTTGTCCTAGTCCGAGCCTATTTGCGACCATAGTCATACCTACAGAAAGAGCCCGTATAATAACACAATAAAGAAACGGTCATGGCACAAGACATATGTAAAATGTCTCTTTTTAAAACACTGATTTTAAAGCTGAAAGTTCAATACAGCTGGTAATCATTTTCTTTTTTATTATTTGGTCACTTGGTCTCCACAGCTTAGTCAAAGTTATTGAACACATGTTAATGTTCTACCATGCATTCCAGTAAGGCAGCCCATTTGAGTGGGTTGCCTAATATATCAAAAATGTGCATTAGCTGTGCATAATGCACATATATAGCACAATATTTTGTGTGTTGCTGCAATGAAACAGTGTTTGACTTAGTTTTTAATATATATATATAGATATATATATATATATATATTTCTGAAGAAATATGCAGCAGAATTTGATTATAGGATAAATTCACCTTTTGGTAAAAAATAAGTGCACAATTTTTGCAGGTAAAAAAATGTGCATTTATTATTTTTTACTGCAGGAGCCTGTAAAGCATTGCACCAGTGATCATAAGATCGCTCGTGCCATGCAGGTCTCTTGCAGACTGTCAGTATATCTGCTTGCCATACAGGATGTATTAGCAAGTAGATATACTGACAGGAATATTCAATGAACTACCAGGGTGCTCCACAGCGTGTTAGTTCAATGAGAACTACAAGCCGACAGCAACTAAGGCTGTCAGGACTTGTAGTTTCTCATTCACAGAGTGACATGGCTAGGTGGACCCGCACGACCATGTATTTTAAAAATTTGATAGCTAACGAGAGGGGATAAGATCCCGCATTAGCAGACAAAGCAGGGGATCGTCAGGCAGCTGTTGCCGATGCTTTCATAACATGTTACACCCTGAATATGGGTGGAACATGTTAAGAAAGGTGAACTTATCATTTTAAGATGTTACCAGATTTGTGGGTGCAGATGTACAAAATAGAAAAAACAAATCTGTGTAAATATAACAAGCAGAGGTTGAAAAGGCCAGGTAGTCTTCAGGATCTACCCAGACACCTGATTCCGATTTGAAAGTCTTGGCCCCAGGAACCTATGTGACCTATGTCCAGCACCTTGAGTTTATAACACAAACACACACACACACTTCTTAGAAGCTGCGATTTCATGGATAATGATTGTGAGGCAGACTAGCCTTCCACCATTTCAGCACATTTATCTTCTATTATCTTTGGCATATCTTGCCAATGTGGTACATTCCATCCCAGTATCAAGTGACTACTCACCAACTTATGTATTTCACATTCTAAGTTTTGAATACAGTCGAGTTTCCTTTTCCGGCAGCGCTGGGCAGCTATCCTGTTTTTACTTCTGCGTCGAACATCGTGAATAAATTCCAACTGTTCTGAGGTCAGCTTGTGCATCTTTATCATCATCTGGAAATCATTGCGTGGAAGATCTGTGATTTGATCAATTGGAAAGGGCAATTTAACCTGCAAGAGAGAAGAAGCATGATTAGAAAACTTGTACTCATGCATTGTGTCCTTGTCTCATTCATAAAAGCACAATATGTATAATCATGACTGCAAAAAAAAAAAAATCCAGAGTCGTAGCCAAACATGACAGGGTCCTGTTTTAAACTTTATTCCAAGGCACCCTCATATTTTGCACAAATATGTCAGTGCCATTTAGCTCTTTATTCATTATATGGTTGGACAACTGTACAGAACAGAGAAGTGAGAGAAAACAAAACAATAATGTAAGCACATACTAGGTAAAATGAATGGAGGACTTATCACAATTGTGCCCTAAAACTCTTGTGCTCAGAACACCTGCCTTGTTTTACTCCTTCTAAAAGCAGTGCTGTTACTACCACCACATTCCGTGTGGCTTCTGTTGGGTCTGAGAAAACCCAGTTGGCTAGTCTGGGCTGTTCATTCAGATAGCCAGATTTTTCTCAGTCACTTTACCAAAAGTCTTCATCCTCACATGTTTAAGGTGGCTGAGATAAATCGGTACAGACCTGCAAAGAGAGGGCTACTTGTCCATGGACTGAATCACCTATGTGTGCTAGCATCATTCCAGTCAAGAGGAGAAAACACAGCCAGCAGCAACACCTACAATTGCTTTGGTGTGTGTGTGTGTAGCATTGTGAATGAGCTCTGACTGCCTGTGCCACACATCATTTTTTATGCTTCCCAGCAAGCAAGACTAAGCAGAACACAGGTCTCTGAAGCTGCATTAACCACTTGCCCTCCAGAGAATTTACCCCCCTTCCTGACCAGGCCTCTTTTTGTGCTACTGCTACTCGGCGCTGCACTAATTCAACTGATAATTCAACTATTTGATCTCCTTTTTTATTTTTTTTTTGCTCTATAAAAAAAAAGGCTGACAATTTTGAGAGAAAAAACAATATTTTGAACTTTTTGCTATAAAACATGTCCAGTAAAAAAATTTAAAAATCAAATTTCGTCATAAATTTAGTCCAAAATGTATTCTACAACAACTTTGCTAAAAAAAAATCCCAATATGTGTGAATTAATTGGTTTACGTGAAAGTTATAGTGTTTACAAATGGCGGTACAGATACTGGATTTTCAATTTTTTTTATACTAATAATGTCGGCGGTCAGCGACTTATGGCGGGACTGCGAGACTGCAGTGGACATTCTGACACTGGGGGGAACTGACTTGGGGTCACTGACACCCCCGGTGACACCAATACAGTGATCAGTGCAAAAAAAAAAAACACTGACACTGTACTAATGGCACTGGGGTGGAAGGGGTTAACTTTTTTAGGCAATCAAAGGGTTAACTGTGTGATTGGAGTGTTTTACTAGGGGGCGGGGTGTGTGTACTTCACAGGAACCTTAGATCCCTAGAGCTAAACTCTGCTCTCAGAAACAGTGTGCTGGGAACTGACAGGGAGCAGAGCTGCATTGAAAACAATGCACCATGTTTTAGGTGCCATTTAAAACAATGAACCTGGGCGGCAATTCTTCTGTGATCCCAGAATGCCCAGGTGTGAATAGGACCACCCCTGGTTCACACATATGCAATTCTGGATGCGTTTGCAAACTCACAGATTTGCATGACAGGCTAGATATTATGTGTTCCTATTGAGGTGGTTGACACGGATGCGATCCACACGCATTGCGTCTTTGAGTGCCCTTACAAAAAGAATCCTGTGTGAGCTTGTTGTGGTGCAGTCCAGACTTGCAAGTGATAGAGTAGACTGGCATGTGAAGATAAGTGTTCACATAGGATTGGTATTGACTGGAGTTTTTGCATTAAAATTAATGGAAGGCATTTTGCATTGAAGTCAATGGGAGGTGTTTTTGCATGGAAGTTGATGGGAGGCGATTTTGCATTGACATCAATGGGTAGCATTTTTGCATTGAAGTAAATGGGATGCCATTGATTTCAATGCAAAATCGTACCCATTGACTTCAATGCAAAATCGTGCCCAAATGATTTCAATGCAAAATCACGCTCCATTGACTTCAATGCAAAATCGCGTCCTATTGACTTCAATGCAAAATCACGTCCCATTGAATTCAATGCATAATCGCTTCCTATCAACTTCAATGCAAAATAGTGTCCATTGACTTCAATGAGGCTGCTTGGCCGCAAAAGGGCAAATGTAAAAAAAATGGTCAGAATAACCAATAAGGATAAGTTAGAAGTCATAAATGCTTAGGGACATTGTTTATTTTAACTTTTTTTACAGCTAGAGAATCCCTACCAAAAGTCAAAAGAGTCGATTTACTAAAGGCAAACAGACTGTGCACTTTGCAAGCTCTGCTGACTTTCCCCCATGAAATGATGTGCACACAAACATCATAGTTTTTTTTTTTTACTCCTTGCATATGATTGGGTATTCGTTGCAAAGTGAAGCTTCACCTCATTCACTAAGCTCTGGAAAAACTGTGCTTGCAAAGTGCACAGTCTATTTGCCTTTAGTAAAACATTCCCAATGGGGCCGTTTTACCAAAGGTAAATAGACAGTGCACTTTGCAAGTGCAGTTGCACTGATTTTCCCCAGAGCTTAGTGGCTGGGATGAAGATCTACTGATCTCCATAATTCAATCATGTGAAAGCAAAAATGCAGTTTTTTTATATATATATATTTCCTTGCATCTGACTGTGTATTCATTACAAAGTGAAGTTTCACTACACTTACTAAGCTCTGGGAAAAAGGAGTGCAAATTGCCTTTTTTAAATCAACCCCAATGTATTATCTTCCTAATATCAGAATTTAGTATGGAATTGCCAGTGTAATATACAACTCATTTCAGTAAAATGGACGATACACTAGTAGAATTTTATTTCAAATTTTCATTTGTAAAAAGTCACTCAGTTTTGTAATTTTTATTGGGATCATATGGATGTTCATTTATGACTGCAATGAGGAGAATATCTGAAGGAGCAGGATGAAAAATGTCTAACTGTATATGTGGTTTTAGTTCAGTAAAGTCTATTTTTTCAAAATTGAATGTTAAAAATAATAGTTTGAAAGTCTACTATTGTGTGGCCAGCTTAATCTGTTTACAGATCCCACATGCGGGCATATCTGACAATTTATGCAAAAGGTGCTAATGACTCTTCGGTTGATATCTTCGTGTATTGTGTGATAATGTCATTTTATATAGTTACTTGCATTATAACAAACCTTCTGTTTATATCCATGTATTGTGTCATAATGTTATAATGTCATACAATGACACGCATTATTTTATTCCAGGCAAGTTAAGATTTTTAAATATCAACAATTTGCCTTGTTATCACTATTCACCAAATTACAGACATGCTTCTAGAATACAATTTAGTACTACTACTTATTCAGATAGAAATAATTACTTTAAAACTACAAAAACAAATCTGTCAACAACGTAAAAATTGACAAAACATATTCCTGCAGTACCTACATTTTACCACTAGAAAGCACTAATTGCTTATGCAATGTACAGTAGTCAGGAACTCAACTATTTAAATGAATAGCAGATAGCAAGCATTTTTTCCTGAAATCCAGCCATTAGATTACATTGACAAACTAATAAAATAATTAAAAGAATTCATCAAATGGTTATCAAATTCATAACGGATCAACAAGTAACTCTTGGTGTAGCCTTTAGACAAGTTATGTTATTTATCTCAACCTTAAGAACAGTGCACTGTACTAATTTGAAAATTAGGTGATTTTATTTCAAAGACTGACAGGAATCTAAAGTTAGCCATACACTAGTAAAACTTTCAATTGTTTTTGTTTTAAAAACATTCTTTTGATTTTCCTAATTGTTAAAGGCGTACATACATTCAAAGTTATTTTCCTACTGCAGTGATGAAAAATTTTGAAGGGGGAAATGGAATTTTTCTCACACACTTTTAACAGTGTATGTGGCTTTTGTTTGGGAAAGTCCATTTCTTCCAAAATCAAATGCTAAAAGCGAAGAAAACTTTGAAGTACTTTCACAAGACATTCGTCAAGTCATCAAAGTTCTACTAGTGTATGACCTGCTACAGATAGAAGTCTACTGGTCTGTCCATCAAACAGGGCTAAGCTAGTAGGCAGGTCAGACCAGGAGTCAGAGACTCCTGGGTTCATTCACTACAGTGAGCGACAATGTAATTACACCATTGTTCACTTAAGCAGGAATTACAGAAGGGATTTTACAAACAAGTGGCCAAGAGAAGTGTAGCATAGCATCCACCAGTCTTATGAAAAGGTGATAAAGAAGGTAGATATAAGCACAGGTTTGGTCATTTCCTATCCACTTGCCTACTGGGGCAATTTTCACATACATGGCAAAATTGTTACAAAATTACTTTGAACCCCAAACCATTATATGTTACCTGAAAGCACAGGCCTTGTAGAGAAAATATGGTGGCTGATGCTAATTTTTATGTCTCATGATATTTGCAGAGCCATTTATCAAATGCATATTTTCTGAAAAAACACAGCTACATGAATTTTATTGCACACAAACACAATACCATTTTTTTTGTAAAATATAAAAAATTATGTTATGTTGAGAAAATAGATAACAAATATGTCAAGATTTAAAATGGTAAACTATGGTGCCTAAAATGTGTCCATAGCCTTTACAGGTTATTAGTTTAGAGTTAAAAGTGAACTATAGTGCTGAATTATTGCTCTTACTCTGAGGTTTGTGGGAATACCTCACATGTGTGGTGCAATCATCATTTACAAATGTGTGCCGGACCTACGTGCACATTTGCATTTGCATGTACAGCAGGAGAGGGGTGCTTTCAATTTTTAAAAATATTATTTATTTTAACCTTTGGATCTAATTTTATTCCTATCAACAAAGGGTAAACAATCCCCTTGTTATAGCTTTGGGCAAGTGGAAGGAACACTTTATTGAGACATCGGGGGTTTATTAGACCCCTAATGTCTCCCATGTCCAT